AACTGCAAACCAAGGAGCATTGGATGAGGATGCCACGGTCCCTGAGGCAAGTCCACAGACTGTTCCTATAGCTGATAGCGGAAATGTTACTTCAGGTACATCAAATTGAACGTTTCTTTAACAATTCAACTTCCTTTTCAATATCTGAATTATCTTTATATTAATGAATTCCAGGAGATTTTCTTACTTGTCTTATGTCTAATTCAGCATCCGTGAAGAAGCTTGACCGCATTATAATCCCAGTTGCTGTGGATTCTACTCAACAGGAAGCTCTGGCAGTTTTGAAGAAATTGAAGGTGTGCTTCTTTATTGAGCGCTGTCAAGTCTGTGCTGAGTCTCTCTGCTTTTTCTTCTTAGCTTTTGTCCATTTCAATGCCTAAGTGCATCTAAGTAGGGCCTTTAAGGTGCTGATATTTCTTAGTCTTGTCTGCATTTTCGAAGTAATGACCAAGGAACAGAAGCTTAAAACCCAAAACGGTGCTGAGATATGAGTGGCATAGTCACTAATAACGAGTTTATTGGAACAGTGTTTAAATAATAATTTTGAATACCCATGGAACTTACAATTGTTATTTGTAAAGGAGGATTATTTTACTTTTCACTATCAGTGACATTTTTACGTTCTTGAAATTTTGGACCTGCGACAATTTCTTGTCCTTAATGTTCTATATCACTGAGGCTTTGGGTTGAGTTCTGAGCATGATTTTGTCAACTGTAATTAAGGTACACAGATTATTGATGATGATGTCAAGGCTGATGAATTGTGTACTAGAAGGGAATATGCAAGATGGCTAGTTCAATTAAGCTCATCACTGGAAAGGTAGTAATTTATACATACACTCCTTGAAATATATTTTATTTGTTTTGATGAGATCTTAGGGTGGTCTTTCCTTAGATATTTTTTATTTACTTTGTAGGAATGCAAAGCACCGGCTTGTCCCATCAGTTTCACTTGCTGGATCCATAGTTTCTGCATTTGATGATGTGAATATCGAAGACCCAGATTTTGGGTCCATTCAAGGTAAGGATTGATTCATTTACCTGCAATTGATAGGTCTTTGTTCTTTAGAGATTGAAGTTTGAAACTTTGCTTCTGCATCGTGTCCGTAAGCCCTGGCGGAGGCTGGTGTCATTCCTAGCAAGTTATCACAGAAGAGCTCCAGTAATGATGGTCTAAATGGCCATGGAAACATCAATTTTTCACCTGAGAGGTAGAAAATATGCTTGATTTTTGTTTAATATCTTGAGTTTCCTTTTATAATGTATATTCAAACAGTACATTGTGCTGCAGGTTTATCTCTCGACAAGATCTAATTGATTGGAAGGCCCATTTAGAGTATGATTTTTTGCCTGGAGTAATGCAGAAGGTAAAGAAGGCATCGAACATTATCATCAATGGGTGATTTTTCTGATTTTTCCCCCAAGAGTAAAGTATGCCTCTTCATAGGTTTTAAAACCTGACTTATTTACAGTCCAGATATCAACCACAGCAACAGTAGGTTTTATGGATGTGAAAGAGATCAGTTCAGATGCACCAGCAGGACTATATGCAGACATGCTGACAGAGGAAAATAGCATACTCAGAAAAGTTTTTGGTATTTCCCAGTTTCTTTGTCTATAAATTAATTTAACAATTTCAAGCATGCACACATCGCGCACGAGTAAAGAAATATGCATAAAATTAAACACGCATATATCATGTGTTTGAGTTGTTATTTGTACATTTTGGTGAGCTTTAACTACTGCTGTCATTTGAAGTACAATCTAGGGAAGTTAGGTTGCTTTGGTCTTTAAAGGTAGAAGAAAAGCAAGTGTGAGGATTTGATAAAAGGCACTAAACTGAGAGAAGGAAGATCTGTTAGATGCTATCAAACTTGATGAATTACTTATGTTTACCTTTGAAAACTAACAGGCAGATATATAGGATCACATGAATGTTTATGTTTCTCTGTATGTACGAGGTCTATTCTAAGAACCCCATGTCGTATTATCTTGCAGGACAGTGCAAGCGGCTTCAGCCAAACAAACCTTCAACAAAAGCACAAGCAGCAGTGGCATTGACAAGTGGCAGGATTGCGGAATCAATTTCTTGTGAATTGTTGAGAATAAAGGCTGAAAATTCTGCAAGGAAGGCTGAGATGGAAGTTATCATGTCCGAATTGCTTGATAGGGAAGAGATACAAAAGTTTTGGGATGAGAAAAGGAATGCAGAGAAAACCCGTGGTCTTGAGGTGGAGAAGGCTTATCTTGCTGCCCTTAGTGATTTGGAACAGGAGAAGATTATCCAAGAAAAGAATTTTTCCGAGATTTTAAAGGAGAAGGCAGCTATGGACTGCCAGAGGCAATTACTTCTCAGTCTCAAGGAAGAGGTCAACGAGATGTCCGAAAAGCTTGCATCTGAGAGGTCTACTTATGTTGCTGAGAATTGTGATTTGCAGAATACGCTCAACGATTTAGAGACAAAGCAGGAAAGTATGCTTGAAAGGAAATCTATACTTGAAGCTGAGATAGAAGCTATTCGGATCCTTAGGTATCACTCATCTCTGCAGCTATTCATAATAATGCATGGACACATATTTTACTTGAGAGCGTGTTAAAATGTAGTCATAATTAGGAACATTTCGAGCTTAGGTTTAGTTATTGCTCTCGATTTTTTTCTTTCTAAAGCACGTTCTGCATCTAGTAGCTTCAACTTTTCTGTAACATACAACAGGAAATTGTTATGAAGCTTCATCAAAAACCGAGAACTTTAATCATGGCATGGATATACGATTTACAATTCCTCAGAATTTTACAAAATGATGCAGGTCGTGGGTGGAGGATGAAGCGAGAAGAAGCCAAGCTCGTGCCAAGGTACTTGAGGAGGTAGGACGAAGGTGGAAATGGGATGACCAGGCCCCTTGACGGGATGTAGAGATATTTAATCCTCCTTTTTCTTTTTTTTAAGATCACGAGTTGAGCAATCTGAATGCCATTGGCATGAGCAATCTGAATGATTTGTCCATTATGTGTATCCAGAAAAATCAATCAGGAAAATAATGTGATATTTATTATGGCAGTTGTGCTTTTGAGTAACGCAGTTGAAATGTGATATCTGAAGCTTTTGGTGATGTTTCATAAAACTCTTTGAAGTGTAAAGTTTTTGACCAAACATTCAATCCCAATATGCCATAATCTCTCACGGATTTGTTGGCGCTGCGTCTTATTTCTTGGCCATAACGAGTTATGATAGAATACGTCTTATTTATCTTGACGTAATTGGATGGAATGACTATCGCAATTTCAAAAATATTTATAATTTTTAGTATTTTATCAATGGCTTCTCTTGCATTACCCGGCATGAGCGGTTTTGCCGCCGAATTGTTAGTTTTTTTGGGAATACTTACTAGTCAAAAATATCTTTTATTGACAATAATATTAACTACTTTCGGATGGGAGAGATTTGAGATGTCACTTGTTGTACATAATTATGTGTTTAATTTTCATACCACACGACACGATGACATAGAATTGGCAATGAGACAAAGATTCATTCAGAGAAAATCGCATCGTTCACCACTACAAGAAATGACTTTTTAGCCAAAGTAGTCATTAAAATTGACATAACTCTTTACTTTGATTCTTAGGCTTTAAAATGGATAGAAGTAGTTCATGTGTTTGTTCACCGTCAACTATTTGGATCATTTCGTGAAAAGTTTTAGTTGAATTAAAGATATTTTTGTCAAATCAAACCCTTAACTTCCGTGAAAACTGCTCTCAATTCAATAGAGATTTTTCACGGAATGAGCAAAATAATTGTTGGTAAACAAACTCGCAAAATAATTGTTGGTAGACAAACTCATGACTGCTCCTATCGATTTTAAATCTCAAAAATTACAGTAAGAAGTTATACCAATATCAGGGATAGGGATGGGCAACGTTTATGGCGGACAGATAACCGCGGTTATTTATCCATAACCGTTTATTCTCATACCCGCATAACCGTTTACCCGTTGGGTAATTGTCCAAATGGTTAACCATACTTATAACCGTGTACCCATTTAACCGTAACAATTTAGTACTTTACCCACTTATCATTTTTAAACCCGTTTATCCTTTCTTTTTTAACCATTTACTCTTTTTTCACTCGTCTACGTGTTTTTTTAACAACTTGAAAATTAAAAAAGAAAAATTTGTCATACGTTTATTTTTATAACAATTAAACACCGTTATAGGTACATTCATTATACATTTATGCATTTTAATTTTTTAAGTCCGTATACCATTCCAATAATTGAAATAATAATTTACAGACGATATTTTTAACTGTTAGCAATGAAGGTAATATAAAATTTGCTAAGTATTCTTGGGTTACAAAAACTGTTAAAAGATAATATTCTTGAGTTATTTGACTCGGAAAGTGAAATATTAACATAATATATATAATGGACTATGAAATTTAAAGTGGTTAAGGAAAACTATATTATATTAGCTATAGAAATCATGCACTATAGTCAATAGTATTGATCTAAGTTTTGTCTGATAGGGAACATGGTTTGTGTTAATTTTACATATATAAAATAAATGGGTAAATGGTTACCCGTTTATAACCGCGGTTAATACCCATAACCGCTCATTTAAATTTCGTGGGTAAACGGTTATACCCATAACCGTAACCGTGAAATTTAAATGGACGGGTAACCGCGGTTACCTATAACCGATGGGTATTTGCCCATCCCTAATCAGGGACAATTTGGCTAAAAAGCCAAAAAAAAAAAAGGAAAACTAATGAAAATGGCTTGAAAACTTTGAGTTTTAATGATAAGGACAAAATAAAGGGTAAAGTGAATAGTACCAGGATTGACTTTTTAGTGTAAAAATGTGGTTTTTCGTTAAAGTAAATAGTACCGGGTGCTTTTCGTTAAAGTTCCCAAAAAAAAAATTCACATCCGAGATGGGGTAAAAGGGTAACTTCATATGCGTCGCGGTCAAAATTCAGTCGGCCGTTTTCTGTGACAAAAGTAGGAACGCAAGGCGGTGAAAAAGTTATGCCCGCTCGGTTGTTTACTTCCTCCCGTTTACTGCACTTGCTCTGTCTCTCCGGTCAAAAATCCCAGCTCCGGCCACAAGCAGCTCTATTTTCGCCCGCTGTTAGAGTCTCTCAGAAGCCCGGATGGTATGCATTTTCACCCACCTCCAAATTTACCTACTTTTTCCTTTTCATCTTGTTTCTTATCTACTGGATAATCCGAAAGTGACCACAGTTTGTTTCATCTGGTGAAAACGCATCTCGTAGTTGTACTTTGTGAAATTTTCCTGTATGCACCGGAGTTTTTGGCCGTTAAATTCTTCGTCATTGATCCATTGACCAATATTAAACGGCCAAAAATGCTGGTGCATATAAATACACCGGAGCATGGTAGAATTTTCGCGTATGTTGCAGTTTCCTCTTCTCTGAGGGCCAGCATATGGAGAAACTCGAGCCCCAAAAACCCATGTTTAGATAATGGGAATTTGGCTTCTGCTGTGGGTTGTGGAGCCCACATGATTTATAACCCAGAAAACGATTTTCCTTGTAATCTTCCATGGGGCTCAGAAGCACTTCTAACGTTTTCTGTCAAACGCAGTCAGAAGAAATGTTTTTAGCCTTTTCAGAAGCAAATCCCGAACATTCCACTAAAAGAGTAGAATTTTACGCTATGTGAACATACTTATTGGTAAAAATCATGTCTTGCATGCTCAACCCATCATATGCAACACTTGCTTACCGATTACACACAAAACCAACCACAAAGATACGAGCTTTTAGGGAAATGCCAAAAAGGGAAGCAAGTGGGTTTGCAGGTCAATCACCCCCAAAAGTTGGGTTTGTTTTGCTTTGTGTTAAGCTACCTCTGAGAATTAAAATTTCAGTCAAACAAAACATTGCTTACTTGAAATATCCTTTGATTTGGGATTCCATTTATCAATGTTTGATTTCTGCAGATACCAAGTTTGTCAAATGGATCAGAGGGCAATGATTGGCCATATTTTGTCTTTCGAGCTTCAGATAAATCTAAAGCTTGATTCATTGGGCATTTGAGACAATACGACCACCCAAATAAAAATGGTATCTTGATATTACCTAAAACAAGTAAGGAATGCATGTAACTGCAGTTAAAATTTACATTTTCTAACTTTTCAGCTTTGGTTTTTGGCTTGTTTAACTGCTAACGTTCCTTAAAATCTTTACAGTGACATGTTTGGACCCACCAAATTGTGAACTTTCAATCCTTTTGGAGAAGATTGGCCACTAGTTATTGGTGGTTGCTGTAGCTCTTAGCATTAAGAGTTGTGCTGGATTGTTTACTTATCTGGAACTTCCCGGCCCAAGCAAGCGTTCTTTTATGTTTGGTCTACAAACCTCAGAAGGTGATAGCTGATGGTGTCAGCAATGTTTATACTTCATAATTAGATTTGGCTACTAATATACTTATATATGCGAACGGTCTGGGATGTGTGCAGTTGGATATGTATATAGGAAAGGGATTGTTTTCTTAATCTCTCTTGGGAATTACAGATTCTGTGTGTTGGGGGAGAAGCCGGCAGTTTGGTGTTTTGGAAGTTGGTTATCTTTATAGATGAGTGAGAGCTTGAGCTTTCCACATTTGCAATACCTTCATGATAGTCAGGTTAAGCCTCCTGGTTGCTGCTACCATTGCAGCGATTGCAGCAAGGCAGCACAGCATAAAAAACTCTGGTTCATCAACCTCAACAGGCAGGCATTCAGGTATTCATCTCTATGAGTTCCATAAATGTCACTTCTTTATTAAAATTTTTGGAAAAACAAATTATATTATGTAAATATTGTTTGCAACTGAGCCATATTTAGTAAATATTGTTTTGAAGACAAGTTAAGTTTTACTTCCCCTTCTTATTGCAAATTTTTAATAATCTTAATTCTTATGGTGATATTGTGACTTAGAAAATGGTGAAGCAAACAGTAACCATCAAAGCGAGAAGGAAGACGAAGAGCGACTTACATATTCTAATGATAGCCTCAGAGAAAAGCATGTATGTACATAACAAACTTTTATCAAAGTCCCATCTCTTTTGCAACATCATAACATCGACAGTAAATTTTGTGTTCCCTTCCTTTACCTGTAGGTTTTGGAATTTGTTTTACTTTGAAAAAAAAAATCTGTTTTTAGTTAACTAAGAGTGGTACGTATTGCAGAAAGAAGAGGAGGAGGAGGAGGAGGAGGAGGAGGAAGACGAGGAAGAGGTTAAGTTGATTAGCAGTGTTTTTAACCGTGCTAGTGATATCTCACCTGGTGATATCCAAGATGAAGATATTTTACCTGAATTTGAAGATCTTTTATCTGGGGAGATTGAAATCCCATTACTTGTTAACAAGACAGATACAAAAGAGAAGGACATATATGAAACTGAGATGGCAAACAATGCAAGTGAGCTGGAACATTTGCGTAATCTGGTAAAGGAATTGGAGGAAAGAGAAGTAAAGCTTGAAGGTGAATTACTTGAGTACTATGGATTGAAGGAACAAGAATCAGACGTTGATGAATTACAACGACAACTCAAGATTAAGACAGTGGAGATTGGCATGCTCAATATTACTATTAACTCTCTGCAGGCGGAGAGGAAGAAGCTTCAAGAAGAGCTTACACAGGGAGCTTCCGCCAAGAAGGAGCTAGAGGCAGCTCGGTACAAAATCAAGGAATTGCAGAGGCAGATTCAGCTTGATGCTAACCAGACAAAAGGCCAGTTACTGTTGCTCAAACAACAAGTAACTAATTTACAGGCAAAAGAAGAAGAAGCGGTGAAAAAAGATACTGAAATTGAAAAGAAGCTGAACGCTGTGAATCAATTAGAGGTGGAAGTCATGGAGCTTAAGAGAAAGAACAAAGAACTTCAAATCGAAAAGAGAGAACTAATCATCAAGTTGGATGCTGCTGAAGCAAGAGTAGCAACGCTCTCCAACATGACGGAGGTTAGTCTTACTGCTTTCTTGCATTGCATTATGTGCACGTCTTTCTTTTCTCTTTTTGTGTGTGTGTGTGTGGGGGGGGGGGGACAAAGAGAGAAGATTTAAAACATTGGCATGTAAGTTTCTCGTTTTTTTCTTGACCAGATATATAGTTTTTCTTCTAGCTTCGGCTATTTTGGTTTAGGCTGTAGCCCCTGACTGTTACGGGTTGATACTGATAATTGAGACTAGAATGATACTTGAGACTAGAACCTAGAGATGCAAAAATTGAATGATTTCTTTGTTTATCGAAAATAATTCAGCAAGCTGGTGGAAAACGCACAGGCTGTTTAACAAGTATTATGAACGAAACAATAGTTACACTAGTTTTTCTGACGCTTTCTTCAGACTGAAATGGTTGCTAATGTAAGAGAGGAGGTCAATAATTTAAAGCATGCGAATGAGGACCTATCAAGGCAAGTGGAAGGTCTTCAGATGAACAGGTTCAGTGAAGTTGAAGAGCTAGTGTACCTTCGTTGGGTGAACGCATGCTTGAGGTATGAGCTCCGGAACTATCAGACACCTCAAGGAAAGGTATCAGCTCGTGATCTAAACAAGAATCTGAGCCCCAAATCGCAGGAGAAGGCCAAACAACTGATGTTGGAGTATGCAGGATCAGAACGTGGGCAAGGGGATACAGATCTTGAGAGCAACTTCTCTCATCCATCCTCCCCTGGAAGTGAGGATTTTGACAATGTTTCTATTGATAGTTCTACGAGTCGATATAGTAGTCTCAGCAAGAAACCTAGTATAATGCAAAAGCTGAAAAGGTGGGGAAAAAGCAAAGATGATTCTAGCGTTCTTTCATCACCAGCTAGATCTCTCTCTGGAGGCTCTCCAAGCAGACCAAGTATGAGCGTTCGACCAAGGGGCCCACTGGAATCCTTGATGATAAGGAATGCAAGTGATGGTGTGGCCATCACTACATTTGGGAAGGTGGATCCGGAACTTAATGACTCCCCTCAAACTCCCACTCTTCCGAACATTAGAACACAGATATCTTCAAGCGACTCACCTAATTCTGTGGCAGCATCTTTCCAGTTGATGTCAAAGTCAGTTGAAGGAGTTCTAGATGAGAAGTATCCTGCTTACAAAGACCGGCATAAGTTGGCCTTAGAGAGAGAGAAGCAAATTAAGGAAAGGGCAGAGCAAGCAAGAGTAGAGAAGTTTGGTGACAAATCAAGTGTAAATTTGAGCTACGAGCCTAGACCCAAGGCTGAAAAGGAGAGATCAGTAGCTTTACCACCAAAACTTGCCCATATCAAGGAGAAGGCAGTTATTTCCAGCGATTCAAGCAACCAAACTAATGATGGTAACGCTGTTGATCCTCAATCAATAACCAAGATGAAACTTGCCCAAATTGAGAAGAGGCCTCCTAGGGTACCTCGCCCGCCTCCTAAAGCATCTGGAGGTACCCCTGTTGGTATAACTTCCGGTCCGCCAAGTAGAGTACCACCTACTCCACCTGGTGGCCCACCACCACCACCACCACCACCTGGTGGACCACCTCGTCCACCGCCTCCGCCAGGAAGCCTGCCTAAGGGGGGAAGCAGTGGTGATAAAGTACACCGTGCGCCTGAGCTGGTTGAATTCTATCAGTCATTGATGAAACGTGAAGCCAAGAAGGATACATCGTCTTTAATATCTTCATCATCTAATGTATCTGATGCGAGGAGCAATATGATTGGGGAGATTGAGAACAAATCATCATTCCTTTTAGCTGTGAGTAGAACTTTGTTTTGTATTTCATTTATCTTGTTATATGAGGCATGAACTATGGGGCCCAGTACCCAAATGTTTCAAAGATTGAAATTTTATGTGTTGGATACAGGTGAAAGCTGATGTAGAAGCTCAAGGTGGTTTTGTCATGTCGTTGGCAGCTGAAGTTCGAGCAGCTTCCTTCACAAACATAGAAGATCTTGTAGCATTTGTGAACTGGCTAGATGAAGAGCTCTCCTTTTTGGTATGCCATTACATATCCACCGGATCATATATTGCACTCAAAGGTTCCTCAGATGGCTAGCAGACTCAACTGCTAAACCATTAAATCTGAACTCCTTTTGTATTGCATTCTTTTCGATATTGTATACTCACAAACCCTCCTACCAGACTCACTTAGCTATCTCTTGCTGCCCTTGGTAGGTTGACGAAAGGGCTGTCCTCAAGCACTTTGATTGGCCTGAAGGAAAAGTGGATGCACTAAGAGAAGCAGCTTTTGAGTACCAAGACTTGATGAAATTGGAGAAACGAGTCTCCACTTTTGTTGATGATCCCAAACTCCCATGTGAAGCTGCTCTGAAGAAGATGTATTCGTTGCTTGAGAGGTACGAACTTTGTTTTCATGCATTGAAGTGCTGGTTAGAGGAAATGCTTTTTCGAATTTTTTCTTTATTCTCAAGTGTTCTGTTAATATGCTTCCAGGGTGGAACAGAGTGTATATGCTCTCTTGCGTACAAGGGACATGGCTATTTCTCGGTGCAAGGAGTTTGGAATTCCAGTTGATTGGTTATTGGATTCAGGGGTTGTTGGCAAGGTATGCTTCAAAACTCAGAAAAAAACTTTACTGTGCTTAGTTGCTGTTAATATTTTGTATGATTATGTTATGCATTGTCTGGCAAAATTGAGCTCATGTAAGAGTTTTACCATTGCAGATCAAGCTCTCATCTGTGCAATTGGCAAGAAAGTACATGAAACGTGTAGCTTCGGAACTTGATGCATTGAGTGGACCTGAGAAGGAACCAAACAGAGAGTTTACACTACTTCAAGGCGTTCGTTTTGCTTTCCGAGTTCATCAGGTATAACAGATTTTTTCTCATTCTTTAGGTAAAAATAGACAGTAGAAGTAGAAATTCCCATTACTCAGAGAATTCAAATGTGAAGGATTTGAAATCTTAGATTAAAATACATAGAACTGGAATGCTAAATTGGAACTGTTTCCAGTTTGCTGGAGGATTTGATGCAGAGAGCATGAAGGCGTTCGAAGAGCTAAGGGGACGTGTCCATGGACAAACAGAAGAAACTAATCAGGAATCTTGATTTATTTGAAATTTTTTCTTTATCTGTCCTCTTGTCTCTTTTATCTGCTGTTAAATTTCATCGTTGCCGCTTAATGTCGTAAAATATCACACCAAAGATCCTCCCCTACACTGCATTTCACAGATATTTGTATGTTCAATATCACACCAAAGATGCCAAAAATGTGCGCCAAAAACCAGAAATAAAATTGTCAGCAAGAAGGTATAGTTTAGCATACTTGGTATAGCTCGACCTCTGTCTTGTCAAAACCTAGCAAGAAAAGGGTTACTGATTTTCTGGCTGCATCCAACTTTACCAGACAAGGATTGGCTGCCCTCCACTTTCGGTGCCCTTCCCGTGTCCTCCTGTTTGTGTGGTCATGGTTAAATTACATCAACATTTTATTACATCAACATTTTATATTACTATTTATTTTTGTCTTATTATATCTATAAAAATAACAATATAAAATGTTGACGTGACTTAACCGTGATCGCACAAAACAGAAGGGCACGGGGAGGGCATCGGAAGTGGAGGGCAGACAATTCTTGTCCAACTTTACCGAGGACGTTAGGCTGCTGATGCCACTTGCTGGCAAAGAAAGCAGATTTCGAGCACTTTCACTGAAGCAAAAGCCAGGGGTGCAAAGTTTTTCTCGAGCGTTTCTCCGATTCTGTGTTTTTATGCAACCCCCCAATAGCTTAATGCAGCATAAACAGATGCTGGGTTGTCTGGAAGCAGCCAAATTTTCATCTACGACACACACAAGGTTTTAAAAGCGGCCTCCGTTTAGCCCTTTTTTAAATTTTAATTAAATTATTTAGTGAATAATACGTGGATGGTTCACATGAATAGTTTGTTACTACTTATGCACAGTATTTTCACTATTCATTTATGCAAATTTTGTAAAGTGAATAATGTTCTCTTTGCTTATAAAATGAATGAGAGGTGAAGAAGGAGGAGAGATAGGAAAGAGGATAGAAGCAACATGGCTGAGAAGAGAGGAAGAATAGATAGATAATATGGAGAGTTATCTTTGTACTCCTATTATTCCAAATTATAATGAAAGCACCACTGCTGCCCCGAGGACGTACTCCAGTCACACTGACTGTAGAGGAACCTCGTAAATTTTGTGTCTTGTTTCATTTATTCAACTGCACACACCGTCAATTTTACAACAATATATACATAAATAATGTCTATTTATATTGTATTGAGATACATAAGTTGTAAAATGGAATGAAATATAAATTATAAAGTACTAGAACATATTGAAAACATAAGGAACAAGCGTATAATGAATGTTCATCCAAATATTAAACAAGTCTCTTGCAATTTATTAAAACAATAAAATGCAAAATGAAGTTTTTTATTTTCTGTTTAAGTGAAAGTCGCGAACTATGTGAGTCTAGGCAGGTCTAGCAGCATTTTCCTAACTTCAAACGCCTAAGGATTAATGTGGGCTGTGACTAGTCGCCTAGCACCTAAGCGAGTCCCATAGGCGGAAATTTTTAGAATAATGGTCACACATACTAACAATTGCAGGATCTCATTGGATTGACAAACTGTAGTCGCAGGAAGTTGGAATGAAAATTACCTTCAACACTTGCTCCAGACTGTCCCATATTTCTGCACTCATTTTCCCATTGAGATGGGGTGTACTGCTGCTTATACTCATGGCTTCGTTCACAAGTCTTAGAACTGAAGAGCCGGCAAACCTCCCAATGCCGGTTTTCTCAGCCACGTTCCGCAGATATTTCAAGTACAAGCTATGCACAGATCGTGTGATTCATGTCAATATATGATGTCTGTAAGTAAGCCCTCACATTTTACGGCCCTTTAATTATGCAAGGGTGGGGGATGGTTTTTATTATCAAACTCATCATACAGTTCTTTCCTTTTAACTGACAAATATTCCAGTGATGTTAAGTTTTTTTTCTTTTTTCTATTGGGTTAATTAACATTTGGGAGGTAATTTTTACGTTTAGCTTTTTTATTTATGGACATCTAATTAAGAAAGTCAAACAGAATTTACGTACAAAATTAAGCATGAGTGTATAAAAGACTAAAAAAAACGTCTTTGCTCCTTTGGGCACATGTATCCCACATGCACTTTTAGTTTCACCAATTTAGTGTCATGATCTTACGAAATTCCTCAATTAGGTGGAGCAGTTAATTTGTCTGTCAGTATATGACCATTTATTTTCATGATGTGGCACAAACAGGGCTTACTTTTTTGTTTTTTTCGAAAGGTATTTTTTTTCCATTTTCTCCTCAAAATTCTCCGAAAAAGTGTGAATTGATTTATTTGGAGTGTATGGGAACTTTCATAAAATTTAAAGAAAATAAAAATATTTTTACTATAATAAGTGGTTTTATTACATGTCATAGCATTTCGATATTGTCGATGATCAAACCGATGTGAAATGGTCCACATGTTAACTAAAGATTTAAGGTCTAAACTAGTAGTTCACAACTTGACATCAAAATGTGCAAATATGAAGTTGATGAACACACTGAATTGGCTGTTGGAATTTGCACAAAATCATAGTCTAAAGCATCGATCTCATGCGTATAAATTGATCACCTAGCTAGCTAGCAAGGTTGCATATCTCTAGCCACAGGAGAGAAAAAGCTTGGCAATGGACTGGCGACCCTAGGCGACCTTGGTGGCAGCTCAGAAAGCTGTATCCCACATTCATCACAATATATCACACCTGAAAATTCAGGTGGCTGGCACTTTTCACCCATCAAAATTGACCTCTGCCATACCCCTCCTTCTCCAAAACCTTCTTCAACTTCAATTCCTTGCAATTTAGTTTTATAGACGAATGTAATTGCCTTGTTGCTGAGGCTGCCCGCAAGTTGCTTAGAGGCCGCCGAGGGCGGTTTATTAGTGTCACTAGTTTGTTTTCCGGGCAGTGCACAGCGGCGTGCATGGTTGGTTTTGGCGCATAGAGCTACAATGGCGGAGATCGAGACGACCAAGGCGATTGCTGTTGGATTTTTGGATCGTCGGGCCCGTTCCACTTTAATGACACCGATACTATTCTCAACTTTACTATCTGTCAAATCCGTCAGGTGTGAAATTTTACCACAAAAGGCATACTCTAATGGCACCGATACTGTCTCCAACTTTACCACCTGCCTAATTCGTTAGTTGTGGGGTTTTGCCTACGATTGTTGTTGGATTTTTGGATCGTCAGGTCCGCCCCACTCTAACGACATTGATACTATCCCCAACTTTACCACATGTCCAATCCGTCAGGTGTAGATTTTTACCACAAAAGGCCTACTCTAACGGCACCGATATTGTCCTCAACTTTACCACTTTACCACCTGCCTAATCCGTCAGGTGTGGGGGTTTTACCAATATTGTCCCCAACTTTACCACTTTGCCACCTGTCTAATCCGTCAGTCAGGTGTGGGGTTTTACCACAAAAGGCTTCGGTATTTGTTAGAGTGAGATAATCATATTTAAACCCCTTTGATCGTCTTTATGTTAAGAGTTCAGACTTGTTTCTTTCTTGGTGACAAGCTCATTGGCTTGCACGGGCCCGAACCATGGGCTCTGATACCATATTGGATTTTTGGATCGCCAGACCCATCCTAACTTTACCACATGTCCAATCCGTCAAATGTATACTTTTACCACAAAAAATCTCAATATTAATTAGAGTGAGATAATCATATTTAAAACCTTTGATTTTCTTGCACCCACCCATTGATGTGGGACTTTAAGGGTGTGTTTGGTACATGGGATGGGACGGAACAGAGTGGGACAAACACATTCCGTCCCACGCTTGGTGCGCTAAAATTATGTGGAACGCGTGTCCCACGGAACGAAAATGGGTTAGATTTTGGTTCCCCCTCCCCCCCCCGGAACAGGTTTTTCCATCTCGTGGGACACAAAATTATATTTTTTTGGACAACAATACCCCTCTTATTTTTCATTAATTACATTGTCTACCTCCTTTTCTCTCCCGTAACCTCCCTCTCTTCTACCCTCGTCTCTCTCGTAGCCCTCCTCTTCCTCCACCACAAACCCAATAACCCAACTGTTAACCCAATCCCAGCAAACCCATCCGACGACGACGACGTCACCATAGCAAACCCTCTTCTTCTCCGGGGCCGTCTAGCGTCACGAACATGACCCGCATCTCGTCATCTCCGTCCGTATAAGCGAGGTGGATCTGATCTGGAACACGACCCGATTTAAAGCTAAGCTCGTTATCTGAGGTGGCGAGCAGGTGGGCGGTGCCGGGAAGGAGGTTGTGGTCCTGATCGAGGTGGTTAGGGTCGACCTCGGACTCGTTCCAGCGGAAAATCCGGAATGAGTAGTTGAATCGGAGATTGACCAGAGGGAGGGAAATGGAGCCCGACCCAGATTTCCATGTGGGGGCGGAGGAGAGGAACTTGTATCCTATAAAGTTGTCGTGGTGGGAGGAAGGGGGCGAGTAGATGCCGGGCCAGTCGCGTCGGGAGGGCGAGTCGATGTCGGACCATTGGATTAGGACGGAGTCGCCTAATTTGGAGAGAGAGGTTGGGGAGAGAGAGAGTGAAACAGTTTGGTGGGTCGGAGGGAAGAAGGTGTACAAACAAGGCTAAGTTAGTCATTTAACACGAAATCTGAACCATTCCGTCTTATGCATACCAAACATAACACGAACCTCCATTTCGTTATGTCCCGTCTGCGTACCAAACGGTACCTAACAATTGCTAGTGGCATTGAGGCGAAGTTGTTGGCTGCAATAACCTCTGATATTGGACTAACCTGTTGTGAAATATAATTGATATTTTAAGATAATTAAAACTAAACCTGCTCCACCTTGGGTTTATATAGAGATGGGATATAGGTTTAATTATTCGGAGTTATAACGAAAAGCTTTCGGTACTGTTCACTTTAACGAAAAACCACATTTTTACACTAAAAAGTCAAACATGGTACCATTCACTTTACCCTTTATTTTGTCCTTATCGTTAAAACTTAAAGTTTTAAATTTTTTTTTCATTAGTTTTCCTTTAATTATTTTGTTTGAATTAGTTGTGGCCGGTGGGAGAGAGGGGGGGGGGAACTTGTTTAATTATAATTTGTATGCTTCCTCTACTATTCTCTTAATTGTGTGTTTCTGTTTTAATTATTGATTAATTTAGTTGTGGTTTATCTTCTGTAGTACATGCAGAAAACCATATAGTCTCTGTAAAGTGCTGACAATATTGTAGAGTGCTAACAATAT